CGGACTATGAGAGTGAGGGAATAGAGAGTGCACCTGTGCTTGCGCATACACTCGGACACTGTCCTGTCCTGCGCACATGGTTAGTCTCTGTTGATACTTGCCGCCGTGACTGATCAAAATGTAGATGCGTTGTCGCCCCTGAGGACTAAGATGGAATGCTTCTTTTCCAGTAAAAATGGTCTCCGGTTCTCTACACTCACCATACAAAACACAGTAGTGTTAAGCTGCTATTTTACGCTTATATTCTATGAAAGGGGGGTCCTTCGCCAGTCGAGCCGACCCATTCGTGTTACAACCACAGTATAGCTGCATGATGGCTCTACCAATTAAAAACTGGGTGCTGTAAATTACATACATTTACAATAACTAACTCTCCGATCACACTCTTAATCTCATGGCTGTTAGACGGGAGATGAAGCTACATTCTTCAACAGATTTGACAGCATACAGGCAACTGAACAGACAGATCTCCAAATGCATGCGGCGGGACTTACGCAACTTCAATACAGCTCGTATTGAAGAAGCGATCGAGCGGAACCAAGGCTCCAAAGTCTTTGCCAGAGATCTGTCTGCCAGAAAGTGCCAACTGTCAAAGCTGAAGACCGAATGTGGCAGCATCGTTTCCGGGGCACCTGAGATTTTGAGTGAGATTGAGAGGTTCTATGGGCAGCTGTACACGTCATCGTTGGAGCCGCACGCAAGTGTGAGTAACGATTCAAGAGCGAGTCTTATCCGACATTATTCCGATGATATCCCGGACGTCAGTCTGAGCGAGATTAGAATGGCTCTCCAGCACCTTAAAAACGGCAAGGCCCCAGGCGAGGATGGAATTACAGCGAAGCTTCTGAAAGCGGGTGGAAAACCGGTACTTGAAGTCCTTCAGAAGCTCTTTAATTCCGTCCTCCATGGTGGCATTACACCGGAGGCGTGGGGCAGAAGTGCGGTGGTCTTGTTCTTCAAGAAAGGTGACAACGCTCTCTTGGAGAACTACAGACCGATTTCCCTTCTGAGCCGCGTCTACGTGCTGTTTTCGAGAGTCATTACGAATCGTCTCGCGCGCAGACTCGACTACTTCCAGCCTCCCGAACAAGCCGGTTTCCGAAAAGGCTTTAGCACCATAGACCACATACATACCCTTCGGCTAATTGTACAGAAGTGCGAGGAGTACAATTTGCCACTATGTCTGGCGTATGTGGACTATGAGAAAGTCTTTGATTCCGTCGAAATTTGGGCGGTGCTGCAGTCCCTTCAGCGATGCCAAGTTGACTGTCGGTAAATCGAAGTGTTGAAGTGCTTGTACAGTAGAGCTACGATGGCTATCCGAGTCCAGAACCAGAGTACGAAACCTATCCAATTGCAGAGAGGTGTAAGACAGGGTGACGTCATATCCCCGAAACACTTTACCGCTGCATTGGAAGATGTTTTCAAGCTTCTGGACTGGAAAGGATACGGTATCAACATCAATGGCGAGTACATCACTCACCTTCGATTTGCCGACGATGTAGTCCTTATGGCAGAATCCCTGGAGGACCTAAGCACTATGCTCAATGACCTCAATAGTGTTTCCCATCGGATAGCTCTTAAGATGAACATGGACAAAACAAAGATCATGTTTAATGTCCATGTCACACCTATGCCGGTAGTTGTTGGGAACACTAAGCTCGAAGTTGTTGACGAGTATGTTTACCTGGGACAAATAGTCCGACTAGTAAGTCCAACTTCGACCGAGAGGTCAATCGACGGATTCAACTCGGTTGGGCAGCGTTCGGGAAATTACGGCACATCTTCTCGTCAAGTATACCTCAAAACTTGAAGCTGTAATGATGATGATGATGACAATAAGTAAAACTTCTTTTTCGAAACAGACCAGTTTAAACCTAAGATTGATTATAAAAACCTGCATGAGTACTCGTATATCTCTCTCATTTATCATTTTCGTCTTCTCTCATCCATCTATTAAAGCATTAATTTAATGTTATGTCCACTGCTGAACATAGGCCTCCCTCTAGACTGTCTCATAAGAGGGATGTATGCCGTAGACGCCACGCTTTGCAAGCGGTTTGGCAAACGCAGTTTATCATTTTCTAGTTGTTATTAGGAAGACGCTGCTGACCATCTCCAGGTTTGATTCCGTCTGTCGCCTCTTACGACACTCTTTACTAGTCCATAAATTCCACTGCTGCAGGGCTAGCATGGGCAGGAGACAATTTTATCCCCGGGGAAAGGAGGAAATGTTTATCCCCTCGCTTCGTTTTATTCCCCCTTTCGAGCATGGGCACACGGGTAGTTATAATATCCACAGTAGATAAAATGGAAGATAGACTTAGATAGATTTTTTTAAAAAATACAATTTTGACGTTTTTGTCTGTCTGTCTGTTTGTTCCGGCTAATCTCCGAAACGGCCGGACCGATTTTGATGGGATTTTCACTGGCAGATAGCTGATGTCACAAGGAGTAACTTAGGCTTACTTTTATTTTAGAAAAAGAATTAGGGTTCCGCGCAAAAATATTAAAACTCAAAATAACACGCGGGTGAAGTCGCGGGAAACAGCTAGTACTAATTACAAGTGTCCATATCAAAAAATTGTTCAATGTTATTTCATTGTTTTATTCACTATGTCCGCTTCACTGCATCTGAAATTAATATTTTTACAACCTAATGTAATATGATAGCAATGTATAAACAGTTGTGAATAAACTAGAAAAAAATTGCGGTTAGACGGATATCAAGACACACCACAGACAAAAAATAGCACTTTTTATTTTATATGTCAATCAATAAGGCCAGTAATACGGATTAAATATCGCCAGTAGACTTTATTCTTCAGATTAAAGGAAGACCATGAATTCCAACATCAACAATACAAGTAAATAAATCGAGTATAAATAAACAATGCAATTGTATAATAATTTCGTCATTTATTCATCCATTCATTACAACGCATCACTTATCCACTGCTGAAGGAGGCCCATGCCTTCTCCATAGATGTTTCATTGGAGAAGGATATTTTCCGACCCATTCGTTCTTCAACCACAATATAGCTGCAGCGTGGCTCTATATGTACCACGCATAAAAAGGTGATTCCATAAACATTCCGGTTTGCTTATATTGGTATAGAATATTATATATATTAATATATCGCATGTTAAGAAAAATATGCAAACTGTACTGGCAACAATTGCTTATTTTAAATTGCGAATCTTGCACAAAAATAAAAAAAGTGTTTTTATTTACCTTACCGAACAGTTTGTTTGTTTGTCTGCAGTAGATAGAGCGCACATTAGACCGGTTATAATCGACCTTGAATATCACTTAGCAGTTCTCGTTTATAGATCACGTCATTGACTGTTTCGACTCCCTTATGATTATTTTGTACGTGGTAGAGACATGCTGCAGCTATATTAGTGGTATAGTTGTAGCACGAATGGGTCGGCTCGACCGGGGAAGGACCACGCTCTCAAAATACCAGCGTAAAATAGCAGCTTAACGCTGCTATGTTTCGTATGGTGAGTGTACAGAACCGGAGACCCTTTTTACTGGAAAAGAGGCATTTCATATTAGTCCTCACGGATGACAACGCATCTGCATTTGGACTCGTAATCGAGGATAGATGTAGATGTCTATGGGCTTCAGCAACCACTTACCATCTGATGGACTGTGTGCTCATTTATCACCCTTATCCTATAAAAAAAATCATCATACCATGCATTCTTAGGTCTTTTTAAGTTAGGTCGTTTTTCATGAAATTGAAGTGACAAACAAACTTACGGTTACAGTCTAAGTGAGATGGTAAGTGGCTGCTGTAGTCCATGCATTTCTACAACCAACTTCCAATAAATGAGGCTACAGATGCGTTGTCATCTTTAAGGGTTCAGATGGAAAACCTCACAGCCCGCAATTATACTGGCTCTTCACATTCAGACCGGAACACAACAGTTATTATATACTTAACTAGCGATCCGCCCCGGCTTCGCATGATTGATTTATGGATCTCGACAGAAACGCCACCTACTGGGTCCAATTGTGAATTTAAACTATTCTCTAATCAACTTAATCACACGCACGCACGCACGCACGCACGCACGGACGGACGGACGGACGGACGGACGGACGCACGCACGCACGCACGCACGCACGCACGCACGCACGCACGCACGCACGGACGGACGTATGGACGCACGCACGCACGCACGGTTGGACGGATGGACGCACGCACGCACGCACACACGGACGGACGGATGGACGCACGCACGACCGCACACACGGACGGACGGATGGACGCACGCACGCACGCACACACGGACGGACGGATGGACGCACGCACGCACGCACACACGGACGGATGGATGGACGCACGCACGCACGTACGGACGGACGGACGGACGAACGGATGCACGCACGCACGCACGGACGGACGGATGGACGCACGCACGGACGGACGGACGGATGCACGCACGTACGCACGCACGCATGCACGCACGCACGGATGGATGCACGCACGCACGCACGCACAAGCCCGCAGAGTAGTGACAGATTAATGCAGGGAAGTGAACAAGCCATTGATTATTAGCTAAGAAAGGGGAATAATATTGAATAAAACTTATATAAATTATAGTCTAGATATTTTTTAATATATTAGACACATTCAGTGTTAACAGTTTCTTCAGTATCTTTCAACAAATAAATTTTTAATGCTAATGGTTTGTTAATGCTTAAGTTTCAATTGCCCGAATCAAATAACGGAATTGATATTTTCTACTTATCAGTCTCATCTGAGATTTATAGTAATTATCTAATACAAAAATTACAGCACATAGTGTTTGACAGTTTTAATTATAAAATGTTCAAAAACTTAAAATGAAATATTGCCTTCTACGTAGGCAATAGGTTTTAATAATTAAAAAATAGACAATTTTGTCCAGGTATTTCGGTTTTCCGATCTGGCAACAGCTATACTTGAGACTAGCTTCTTTTTTAAGAGGTAGGATTGTGATTCCAGGGGTCTGCGGATGGTCCCGCGATGGCAGGCGCGTGGCGACGCGTCTCGGCGCGATCGCGTTCCCTACGCGGCTTGTTGCGGGACACCGCGAGGGCACTCCGTGACGTCGCCGAGGTGCTCACATATGGTAGGTGAAGTCGCAGAGTAAAAGAGCCTACTCCTTTTTAAAAGGCCGGCAACGCATCTGTAATTCCCCTGGTGTTGCGGTTGTTCATGGGCGGCGGCAGCCACTTACCATCAGCCCCCTCTCCTATAAAAAAAAAGAGTTAGGCGTTTGCGGAAATCTATTATGTTAAACACGCGCGACGCGCCACGTCTTCGTCTGGATTTATCAATGTGGAATTATCAGGTTATTAGATTTAACATAGTCAAAGACCATTTATTTTATCAATTAAATTGTAAAACTTATTTTAGTTTTTTTCGGAATTTCATCCAAATCGTTTCCCAGACATCAATTAGATCATTATCATTATTATCATTACAGCCCATCCGCAACCCCATAATTAAGGGAGTTATTTGTTATTGAACGGTGGTAGAGCCACGCAGCAGCTTTTGCTGTTGCACGTATGGGCCGGCTCGACCCGGGTTGGTACCACGACCTCACAGAATACGGGCGTGGAGTAGAAGCTCCGCTTTGCGTTTCGTCTGGTGAGTGCAGGTGACCGGAGGCCCAATCCCCCCCCCCCCTCCCCCCTCCCCATCAACATGGTAGCAGAATTAAATCATAGACTCCCCAGGAGGGTACCAGCACCCCTGGAGAATACCTCGTTGAGCATTCACGATCATGCTACTCCACTCCTGAGCGTGGGTGCTCAGGCTGCCCCGCGTATTCGGGGGGGGGGGGGGGGGGGGGCGGCAAAATTCAGCTCAACACAATAACTGCTCGGGGCAAACGCGTAGATAGCGACGATCATCCGCGCGTCTACGGATGCCTCTATAGATCCCATAGCGGTACTGCCGAAACAGACCGACTCATCGACCACGTCCAAATGGCTACAGATTCCTTGCTACAAAAGGTCCCATCCGCAGAGAGCGTGATACTTAGCGATTTTAACGCCCACCATGCTGAATGGCTTGGTTCACGTTTAACAGATCATGCGGCTAGATCTATCTATGACTTTGCCTTGGCATATGGTCTACTACAACTGGTTACTTCGCCTACGCGGATCCCAGATGTGGAGGATCATGTACCTTCCCTGTTGGACCTTCTGCTGACCTCTCATCCGGACAGATATCAGGTCTTCGTCGATGCCTCTCTCGGCTCTTCGGACCATTGCTTGATCTGGAGTGCGGTGCCACTCACGCTCCCCTCGCGGTTGCGTTCTGCAGGTTGCCGCCGTGTTTGGCATAACAGGTCGGCGGATTGGGATGGAATGCGGTCTTTCTTTGCATCATACCCATGGAGGCGGGTTTGTTTCTCACCGGATGATCCCAGCGCTGTTGCTGACTCTGTCACTGATGTGGTGCTACAGGAAATGGAACTATTAATACCATCATCTGTGGTACCCATCGGAGGCAGATCTCAGCCTTGGTTTGGTCGCTCCTGTAAGAATGCAGTAAGCAGGAGTGCTATCAGGCCTGGGCTGAGGCTTGGGCGGCTCGGGATGTAAATACGCCGATATTATGTTACTATTACTCTCGTTTATGACCGAAGGGGGCTAGATGTGTTAATAATCACGATGGCTCGGAGCCCAGTGGCTAGGCATTTGGCGGCTACGCTGGTAGGGAAGCGGGTTCGAATCCCGCACGGAACAAGGGTTTGTATGGCCTAAAAATAATTGTCCCGCGTCTGATAGTTTGTTCATATATAATTTATGCATGTAAAATGCCTCCACGATATTAGGAGATAGTCCTTGAATGGAGGTAATATCGGATGGTGTAAGAATATCCACTACCCCATATCGTCCCGCGGGTGTCGTAAGAGGCGACAGAGGGGAACAACTCAAAATGATAAAAAAACTGTGGTTGTTACCCAGCCTACCAAACGTGGCAACTATGGCAGAATCCTCTCGCAATATATGGGAGAAGCCTATGTTCAGCAGTGGACTTTCATAGGATGTAATGGATGGATGGAAGAATATACATTTTATATTTATGTACCAACTCAATTTTATATTTTTAGACCCAGAAATATCTGACGTGGTCCAGGACATCAGCTGCCAGTCGTCCAGGCCCACGGCTTTGGTGATACTGGGCACCACGCCAACGGCCCGGGCTCGTCTCCTGCACTGTTTGCTGGGAAGGCGATTACTACCGGAGCCACTGCCGAGAGGATGCCGATGGGTTAGTTAGGTCACACATTTTTAACAAACGGTTTTTAATTGTAACGATTGTTAATTATAGATAAAACACAAAATATACTAAATTATTTAACAAGCTAACTCAAACCTTAAAAGAACAGATCAGTCCTAAAAATTCATTCATTCATTCATTACAGCCTTTCATATGTCCACTGCTGAACATAGGCCCCTCGCAAGCAACATCAGGGGAATCACAGGTGTGTCGCCCGCTTTTAAAAGGTGTCGGTTCTTTTATTAAAAGCCTGTTTGTCGTATAGGTTCCATCGATTTCACAAGGAAGTCGTGCGAGGACGAAAACTTCCAGTCAATTGCACTCTACGAAATTACTACTTTTAGTCTTCTGAACTATAAAAATACCCTGTCGGCAAATGCCAAAACTTTTAATCTTCCCTTTACTGGAAAAGAGGCATTCTATCTTAGTCCTCACGGCTGACAACGCATCTGCATTTTAATTCGGAAACGAAGATAGTTGTAGATGTCTATGGGCCACAGCAACCACTTACCATCAGGTGGACTGTGTGCTCGTTTGTCACCCTTATTCTCTAAAAAAAAAACTTTACGCCCTAAGTAGTTACTACCCGCAGTCGGAGACTACTTTCTTTCTTTCTCCGATGTTTCCTTTAACTAGGTAGTAGAACTTCCTTACTGCACAGGGGTCCGTCTGGGTAACTACCAACCTCTTACCAATCCCTGCCGTCAAATAGCACGGTGCGAACGGTTTGTTCCGCTCTGAAGTGTATAAATTATATAGAGTATAGGCTGTGAGACATTCCATCTTGGTCCTCGGAGGTGACAACGCATCTTCAACGTTGCAGGAGTCTACAGAATACAGTAGCCACTTATTATCAGGTGGACTGTAAATTCGTTTTACACTTTTTTTTTGTCGAATAAGGATGACAAACGAGCACACAGTCCACCTGATGGTAAGTGGTTGCTGTAGCCCATAGACGTCTACATCTATCCTCGTTTGCGAATCAAAATGCAGATGCGTTGTCACCCGTGAGGACTAAAATAGAATGCCTCTTTTCCAGTAAAAAGGGTCTCCGGTTCTCTACACTCACCATACGAAACACAGCAGAGTTAAGCTGCTATTTTATGTAAGTATTCTGTGAGAGCGTGGTACTTTCCCGGCCGAGTCGACCCATTCGTGCTACAACTATACCTAATATAGCTGCAGCATGGCTCTATCACATATTATATAAAAATCTGAAGAACGGTTGACCCTGCGGGCCATCCCTGGACCTTCTCGCTTATTTTCGAGCGTAACGCTCGAATATATATAAAATTTTTGATTTTTACTTTTTGAAAATCTTTGAACCGGCTCGACCGATTGACTTGAAAATCTAATCAGCACGAAGTCTCGATGAACACTTTCGAACACCGTGTCCATCTCGATCGGTTGATTCGTTCTGTTACGGCCTACGGCTGCCCTTGCTAAAGTAGGCTATCCCGGGGCCCAAGCAGGAATTCTACGGGCAGACGCAGGTCGGGCCTCCAAAGTGGCCACATGGAAATATCCTATCACAATAAAGGGGAAGGCTAGTTAACGGGAAGGTACTTCCCGCTTCGGGAGCGGAGACTGTTCACCAGGATCTGCCCGGCCGATGAAAGTGTAGTGAGTGTAGGTGGTATTTGTGTGTGTCTGGGTGTAGGTGGCCTGGGCTAGATGACACGATGCTGTCCTGGAGAAGGTATTCTCCTGTGGAGCCCCCGGAACAATTCCCTTATTGAAAGCACTAGTTCAGTCTATTCACGTAATGGTACAGTCAAAAAAAGAACTTCAAACAAAATCACTATATAATTTGCACAATTACTTTAAACGAAGTTAATAAATCCGTAAAGAACAACACGTGGTTCCGCCGACGACAGGGGTACTAGCTCGACTCCGTTCGTGACGTGACAAAAATTAAGTAAGAAACAAAAAAAATTTTACACTCCACGCCGAGACGTGTCCAGTCGACCGGCCCGAAAGGAATGTCGGCGCGGGGGGGATGTGACCTCGATACTGTGCGAAGCTATTAGCGAGTGATTATAACACAATTCTCAAAATATTTAATATTGGCCTAAACAGATATCATACGACAAAATTTTAGTAAATTTTAGTAGAATAGTCAGAACGGCTTAGGCCCTCAAAACGTGGAGATCTGATGAAAATCTATCGCTACTTACTTTTGAAAATTATTAATTTTCAAAGAAGGAAGTTACAAAATATTTTCTCTTTTTAAATTTTTTCTTATGATCTTGCAGCTACACGTACAGTACGGCAGCCATACGCAAGTGCATCTGACTCTTGGTAATTCAGAATTCGAACTGGTTGAAGATTTGGAATGCAATCAGGGACCTTGGGAGACACTGCCGCTTCAGGTAATTTCATTCACTAAACACTCACCATCTGAGGATGGTAGTCAAGCACTGACTTATAAAAGGTAAAAAATCTATAATATTAAAATAAAATAAAATAAAATAAACACAGTAACAATTTGCTTAAAACTAAACAGTTCACATAGTACTGAAACTCGAAAGGATCCATTTGAATGGATCGATCGAATGACTCAGTTCTAAGACAAATCAATACTTGAATGATCGGGTCACTAGAAATGAATGTGTGGCACTTGTCTATATTATAATATGTCTTATTGTTTGAATATACGAGTATCTGTTAATACTTATAATTAGTGTTCAATCTCGACTTATGTATTGTAAGTTTTCCAACTTATTAAAATAACAGGCCCAGTGGTTTGCTGAAAAGGGAAAAAAATTTATACCCATGTCACTTCCACAATGAAGGCTAATAATTTTCTGCTCACCAGATGTCGCTAGTTGACACTGAGGTAAAGTTTTTTGTTACACAATGTAATTTAATTGAGAAGTTGTTTTTTAATAAAAGTTTATCAGTTTATAGAGTATTATACTAATATACAAAACAATGCGTCAGTAGTTTGCGTTTTAATTTTTTGCACATTTTAAACTTTATTTTAAATTTTTCTATTTTTATGAATATCTGCGGTTTGGTATATTTATTTTTTAATGTTATTAATATAAAATATTTCATATTGGGGAAATTAATTTGTTCGGAAAACGAAAAGTTATTGTTTCTTTTTGTACTATTAGCTATAGTATATAATATGAAATCTGTCAAATATTATACCTCAATTTCTAGTGGCGCCGCTCTGGTGGCAGAAAAGGTCCTGGATGCCATCATTAATACGAATCTAACCATACCCCAAATGTTGAAATCTATCAAGCCGTTTAGGCTACAGAGCGTACCATATAAAACGACACCCATACATACACACACTCGAGAAACATTACGCTCATTCTGGGACAGTCGGTTGAAAATTAAATTGCTTTTCCCATTTCAGGATCTACTCCGACAAGACCAAGCTGACCTTGCAACGATACTGGACGTGGAGATCAACAATCCACTCCTAAAGGACGGTCTCCGTATCATAGTGCCTCCGGATATTGACACTGAGTCGGGCGACACCGACTACATCAAGCTGAAAGAAATACATTCGGAACTCTACCAGAAGAGAGACCAAATCCTAAAAAACTACAGCCCTGTGTATTTGTATGCTGTGGACAGAATAGGACGGAATATATTCAGTGATAACATAAGTGAGAGTAGGATAGTTGCGAGGAGCGAGGACGATTTTTGGTCGACTTTCAACCTGTACTACATGACTCGTGTTGGTGTTAGTGTTGTAGGTGGCGATTGTGGTGACGGTGATGTTGGTGATAAGTGTGATGAGAGTGAGTGGAAGGAGTTTAACGGTGAACCAGCTGTTTTTACAGCGGAGGTAAGTGTATTTCTAGAATATTTAGACCGAAAGTTAAATAAATTAATACTAAAACTTTTAAGTCTCACGGAGCACAAGCATTTTTTCAGCCGACTTAAAATAAAAGAATGAGGTTCTCCTTTCGACTATATTTTTCTGTCGACTTCAAAAAGGAGGAGGTACTCAATTCGACTATAAGTTCTTATTTTTTCCACACCTCACTTCTTTTACATTCATATTACATAATAGAAGCTAACATGCTCGTCGTATATATCGCCAATTTGGTGGATAAACTTTCGTATAATTTAACAGTACTAAGAATTTTTAAAAAAACGTCATCAATGTTTACAGAACTGCCTGGACATCCACCAAATAAAAGAGCTCAATCCCAACTCGCAAGTATTTTTCGTTCTCTTCTCGGATAGCACGGATATTCTTGCAGAGGAGAAAAGAAAAAACAAAGAGGTAGAGAAAAGACTGCATCTTTGTGTGGAGGCTACAGAATCCACCGAGGATAGATTCAATGCTGAGGAATTGCCGGAATCAGATCAAGTTTTAATACAGGATGGAGTGCTGAGGTACATTTTTGGATATTGTTTCATTATTTTTATTTTATGGCTTGTCTTACAGAGTTTTATTAATATCGTGTCACGTTTGACAACCTCTTTTTATTTCAAGTATATTGGTCCTTCGAGCACGATTAAAACTATATCTGATATGATAAATTCTTAAATACAATAATAATCATCATCACCTCTCTATATATTGCTTCATAGGAAGGCATTGTTGCCACGTTATCTATTCGCCATAGTTGCCACGCTTGGCAGGTTGGCAAGCGCAGTCTTTTTATTATTACACATTTAATACATTTATATTCGAGTTGTTATCAGGAAGATGCTGCTACCCATAACTTTTTTAATTCTTCTCTGTTACCTTTTAAGACACCCCGGGGATCATATTGGGTAGTAGTAGATATTCTTATACCGCCACTACACGTTTATTAAAATAACCAAAAATAAAATACAACATTATTTATCTTAATTTTTAAATCAATCACGCAGAGAGACCCCGAGCATAACCCTCTCTATACCTCGCTGAGCGACCTTGAGCTCCCTCATACGGCCAGCAGTGAAGGATCACGTGTTCAGATCCATAAGTAATCACTGTCAACACGCATTGTTTGTACAATGTTTTCAAGTTTTGAGGTATACGTAGTGGCGATGTAAGAATACCCACTCCCTACATATCTTCCCGTGGGTGTCAGTAAGAGTCGGCAGAGGGAAATTGAGGCAGGAGATGGGCTGCAGCATCTTTCAGATAACTGAAAAATTACAATAAAAACGATTGTCGCTAACCCGCTTGCCAAGCGTGGCAACTATGGCAAACATTCCCCCACGAGCAACAATACAAATTATGAAACTTATTATCAAAAAAAGTAACAATACTTATTGCTGCTAGTCTTTTATAAGCCTCTAGGAAGAGATCTACTATTATTTATATGCAGGCTTAGCCAAGTTGGTGAAGTGAAGGTTAATTTCATTTATTTTTATAGTTTTTTTTTAACACTGTCATAATATTATATACATATAATAATGTTATGCAGTATTATAATATATATTTTTCATCACCAGGCATAAGGAAGAATCGCCGGAACAAAATAAACCCATGATTAATAGAAGACTGCACGAAGAACAAATTGCATTTATGAACGAGCTGCTTGACCAGTGGGAGTTGATATGTTAGTATTATAATATAGTATTAGAACATTAAATATTTCGCGTTTTAATTGTTTTATTAAAGGTTGTATAAGAACGTTGAATAGTGGTAAACCAATGATTTCAATGATTTAGGCTTAAAATATATTTGTTGACAGAAGGAACAGAATATCCCTAGTTTCTCTTGCGCAATCAATAGCTATTTCATTGCCCTTGTTATTAAAATTGGTCATAAGAACAGAATTTTGCCAATATCTTGTCAATCATTGTAAACTTTTTTTTATTTCAATTATCTTGGTCCCTCGAACACGATATAACGAAATGCATACATGATCTATTTGTAATTAAATTAATTGTAAACTTTTTTATTTCTATGAGCACGATAACTCTTTGGAATAACCTCCCATGTTATATAAAGAAGTCTTCTCAATAAATTTATTCAAACAAAAAATTATTCCTTGATATATTTTTCATATGTATTTGTTATTCATACATAGTATATTTTTAGTGGTATATATATATACATATACGGGGTTATTTTTCAAAGAGTAGCCAAATTTTATATTAAAGTTCAAATAAATAAGTTATTATATTATACCAATATTACATTATTATTATTATTATTATGGGGTATTTGTATAGTTTTCTCATCTGGTTGGGCTGTATAAATATATAATTGTAAATGAAAATGATAAACTTACATAAATATCAATAAAATAAAATAAATACATAAAATTACATAAATATATAAAAACCCAACCAGATGGAAGCCCTCGGCAGGGGAGACCAAACGGTCGAGGGTTAGGGAGAAAGGGAAAGAAACCGGCGGACGATGCGGGCGGTATCGAGGAGCACCGCCTTCTGCATTTGAGCTTGGAGCGATCCGTCACGGAGTCCCAGTCGCCTCAGATGACCCGAGAGGCTGACTGGGATTAACCCGTTCGCAGAGACGACCACAGGAATAATTTCGGCCGGCAGACCACCCCACATGTCGGTCACCTCGTGAGCCAGGTCCAGATATTTTGTCAACTTATCTGTTTCGGCTTTCACGAGGTTCTCGTCATAAGGAATGGTAATGTCGACCAAAAATATCCTTGACTGTGCCCGGTCCATCAGCACAATATCAGGCTTATTCGCAAGAATAGTCCTGTCCGTGATGATGGCCTGGTCCCAGTAGAGCCTGGCGCGGTCATTTTCGAGCACGGCTTCCGGCAAGTAATTATAATATGGCAGTTTCCGATCCACGAGACCGTATTTCAGAGCGAGCTCCTGGTGTAGAATCCTGGCTACTAGGTTGTGTCTGTGCAAATACTCAGAGTTAGAAAGCGCCGAACAACCGGAGATGACATGCCTAAGTGACTCACCGGGATGGCGACAAGCTCGACAGATGTCGACGGCGCCATCCTTTAGGATGTATTTCCGATAGTTGTTGGTCTTAATAACCTGATCCTGTATCGCACAGACAAAACCCACGGTTTCCCCAAAGAGGTCACCGAAACGTAGCCAGTGGAGGGAGGCGACTGTGTCTACGCAAGGCTCATGTAGAGCCTTGTAGAACCTCCCGTGGAGCTCCTTCTCCTTCCATACGGTCTCCCGGTCGGAAATGCTCTGTACTGCCGGGTCTTGCTATTGCTCGTTGGCTAAGGATAGAGGGGTAAGTCCTTTATCACAAGAAATAACGTCCCTATAGAATGGATCATCCGCTCTCGTCAGAAAGTAATTACGGAGGCTGCACAATTCGCGATTATGCATGGTAAGCGCGCTTAAAAAGCCGCGCCCACCATGCTTCCGCGGCAAGTACAGCCTCATTACTGACGATTATTATTATTATTATTAGTAAATAAGGCTTCTATTTTTATTTGAATTTATTGCAAATTGAATGTGATTTATGTGCAACAACTACTCTTACGCGCGCTCTTATGTGTGTGATTCAATTCACGTTTTCGTTTCTCAAGTTTTTGCCTACTGTTTACGTTCTTAGTGACACGTTTACTAATTATACTTACGACAACAACTACATGACGCGAATTATGACTCCAATTTTCTTTTTACACTTTTAACGGCCTGAGGATCGTCATAATAAATAAAATAGAAATATATTTTTGCTTATCAACGACGTAACAGACGACCTTATAGCGTATTTATGAAATTGGAATAAAATTATATATAACAACTAAATTACGCAAGTAGTCCCAATATCTAATATTGGTACCTCAAAATGGAATCCGTTTCTGAATGTGAATAACGAACACACCACATATTAAATAACCGTTTATTCACAACGTAAATTCAAAGTAGCGGATTGGAGCGCCAATGAGCGGCTTAATGGCGTTGGACGATAGTATTGACTGGCGAGGCAAGAATAACCGAACTGGTTTCTTCCGCGCTGCCGGCGACTTCCGAAGATTGCCAAACGGTCACGATTCAACGGACCACATTCTTTATGCACTGAAGAGCACGTTTTGTTAAAATATTTTTTACACTTATTACTTGTACTCGAGCACTGTTAACTTCGGTGAACGCAGCAATAAAGAAGACTGCTACAGTAAAATATTGTGGCGGTCTTCATAACTTTGGACCTCTTTGATGTAAACACGACTTTTTATACACGGATAAACGACTAACGGTGAAAGTTCCGACAAGTTTGCAGATTCACTATTTACGTTATCGCTCCCTGCACTTGCATATCTGTAAATTCTTCTTTTAATTACGACACGTACGCTAATTTCTCACCGCGGTAAAGATTCACTTTAGTACCATTGTATGTTACTAAAGTGAATCTTTACCGCGTAAACTTTCAATGCTCAAAATGTAATATCGCACCATTTCATAGTTTAAATATTATGTTAAGATAAGCTAGTTTTTTCTTTTTGTGGTGGCTATACCAATAGCTCCCACCACCAAAGGTCAGCTGGCTTTGTACCAATAATTTTTGAGCGCAATAGATAAGTTTCAATGTATTTATTTTCATGCATTCGTGGTTGCAGCACTAATGGTTCGACTCGATCGGGATAGGACAACACTTAAGAGAACACCAGCTTGAATTAGCAGCATAATGCTCCTGTGTTTCTTTTGATGAGTGTAGAGAACCGGAGACTATACTGGCAACGAGATATTCCATCTAAGTCCTAAGAGGTGACATCGCATATGCATTTGCATAACCGACAAATAAAAGTACCTTTAAGCCAAAAATTCACTTACCATCAGTTAGACTGTGTTATAAATAAATAAAAAATATCTTCCAGTCAGACCGCCTCCAAAGCATCATGTGAAAAGCCAATGGGCGGTACTAGATGACACCGAAATTCTACGTACAGCGGAACAGAAAGCTAATGCACCAAATTCAAACGATTGTAATACATACACCGGCGAAACTTTAGCGAAGAGACGTCGTGAGGACAATGATAGGTCTCTGAAGAATCGGCCTACATTTTTGAATTCCATATTGAAGTTCGCTACGGATTGCTCTCAGAGTTATCTATTGGAACATTGTACGAGGTTAAGTGAGGTGAGTGTAGTACTGTGACTCTTATGGCCACATATGCTACTCAATTTTAAGATGCCGTTAAGTCTCGTGGTGTCATAGTCAATTTGAAGTAAAGTGATAGAGACAGCACGAGACTTAACGCCGTCTTAAAATTGAGCAGTGTCTGAGTATCTGGGTATTATTCTTTATTGCATGCCTCACAACGCTCGAGCGTCGCGACGCATGTAATAAAGAATAACACCATGCATGGCAGGCATGCAATCTTCACATAACGACATGTCGTCTAAACCAAACACCTCTAACCAGTCCAGCTAAGTTCTCTACTTATTAATACTAAATTTTTCTTTTTCATCCTTTAAAATTCATCTGTTAAACTGCCTCGTTAGATCCATTGGTCGTAAACGAGATTCTGATCATGAGATCCCGGGGACGGGCCAAAATCAGTTATTGGGTTTAGTTTCTGGATGTTAATGCTTTAATCCATGCGGCTCTTACAGATTCATCCACGGAGCAAATAGAAAGACGAGGCGTTATAATTAGATTTCACTGTGTAACAATGCGTGGCAATTGGCGGGGTGAGGGGGTGTTAAGCCCGGCCCACTTAACTATTTTCCATCTACCGATAGGATATATAGGAATAGTAAAACTACTCGCATCGTTCCATATCGATGTTGCAATGTAGTTTAGCTACCTTGGCGATAAATGGAGGCCTGTTCACAACACGTTTAGAAAAACTATAAAAATAATATTTTGGCGATTAAAAACTTTCTAGGACTGAATGCAAAACAAATTCCAGCACCTTCGTATGACTATTTTACCAATATTGAGCTCTACGTACCTTCATATTTTTAGTTTTCATGACACAAAATGTCGCCATCTAGTGTTGAATATATTTAATTATATTTGAAAACCGACGCAAAGAGATTTTTCTAGAACTTTTTTAATAAATTAGGTATAACATTACTTACAAATGAAATGTGATGCCATCCATAGCATACACCGAAATACACCGACTTGCCACTTTCGACACATAAGCGCACAGGACGAACGCTGACAGTATACTAACTAAAGCCACGCCCACTGTGATGACGTCAGGACCTAGTTAGAATCACAGTGCACAGTTGTTTAGGCCGTCTTCTTTTTGTATTTGCTCCGTGGATTCATCGGACTCATTATTGGGTTTATCTTTCAAGAAATGCTCAGTAGTCAACCCGTACCTCGGAAAGCACATAAAGCCGTAGTCCTGCGCCTTATCTCTCTGCGGTCGTGTCGTATTACCGTTGCTTTGTACTATGAGAGTTTATATGGCTGTTTCTATTAATTGTCTGTTATTGTACTTAGGTGCACGTCAAACTCCTGCAACAGTTTATATTGGCTTCATTCGATATGGCCCGCGAGCTTCAAGTCGTGCCGAAGAAGATACAATATGTGGCGAAACAGGAGCAACAGTTGTATGAGGTGATTTAACTAAAGTACTACTAGTGTTCATTTTTTATAGAATAAGGGCGACAAATGCGCACACAGTCCACCTGATGGTAAGTGGTTGCTGTGGCCTATAGACATCTACATCTATCTTCGTTTTCGAATTAAAATGCAGATGCGTTGTCAGCCGTGAGGACTAAGATGGAGTGCCTCTTTTCCAGTAAAAAAGGTCTCCGGTTCTCTATACTTACCAAACGAAACACAGCAGCATTAAGCTGCTATTTTACGCTGGTATTCTGTGAGAGGTGGTCCTTCTCCGGTCGAGCTGACCCATTCGTGCTACAACTATACTATTAATATAGCTGCAGCATGGCTCTACCACGTATATAGAGTGTTATATTAGCAATGATATAACCGTGTAGTCGCGGTGTATAAACCCATATCGTCCCTTGGGTGTCGTAAGAATAGACAGAGTGAAACAAACCAGGTGATGGGCAGCAGCGTCTTCCTAATCACATCAAGAAAATAAAAAAAACAGGTTGCCAACCCACCTGCCATGCGTGGTAATTATGGCGAAATCCCCTCTATGAAACAAACTATGGGGGATGCCTATGTTCAGCAGTGAACTTTTATAGGCTGTATTGGACGGATTGTATGGTTTGTGAAAGCAGGGATGTACCTGTGAAGACTGAATTAGGTAATGTCAAATTAGGTCATGAAGTTGATAAGTTATTATTTATTCATTTAATAGTTCTTTTCATTAATTGAGTGTATTCACAGGTAATAAACGAGAAGTTTTCACAAGGCGAGAAAAAACAGGAGCTCGTTCAAATAATGCAACAGGTGTTGCAAGAAATGCGTTCAGAAATCAATAACATGGATTGGAGCGTTGATGGTATGTTTATTCATTGAAGTAAATACGATTCATCCGTAGTCTTATACGTAGAAGAGTGCTCTGCAGCTATATTATCTTTGATGCACGAATGGGTCGATGAACTCCGAAACTACTGAACTGATTTCAATGAAATTTTGCATATTGTTTGCAGTTTGGTCTCACTTGAAAGATAGGATAGTTTTTATCCCGATAAATGACCTTCAATATTTTTTTATTGCGAATTTAAGGATTTTTTTTTATGGGAAGGGTCGTTGGAAAGGGCAGAATATATATATATATAAACTAAAATACTTACGAAATAATCGCTGGCACTACACCGAGTGTAGAATGGACTGAAGCACTGAAGTTAGATAATTATTTGTTCATTCGTCAAGGCTTGTTACACTGCCATCTCGTATTTAGTACGTAAAATAGTGCGTCAGCTATCGCCTCCATGTACAAAACTCACAAAAATAACCGCAGCTGTCCATAGACGTCAGTTTTATAAAACTTGACGCTATGGATACTATAGTATCCAGGACGTACAACGCTACTTTTATTTTGGATACCGTAGTATCCATGGATGTTTGAGTGGATAAGCAAAGAAAAATCAGTAATATAAGAGAGGGGGGGGGGGGGGGGGGTACGAAGGTATTTGACGTCCTGATGTCATAGGCAGATATATTGATTATGTGATCCCAAGCCAGCTTCTATATTTAAATAACAATGTTTTTATAAATTTACTAGCCTCACGAGTCATCCTTGTTGACTATTTATTTATTTATTTCCATTCAGTTTTGTACAAGTGTTCTATTCTCGTCGAGCCAGTCCCGGATCAACCGACCCATTCGTACTACAACCACGTATGAAAAAAAATTCCGAGAGGCTGGCTCCTATGCGCCTGTTCTCGAGGCTGGCAATATTGGTTTTACTGTACAATAATATTAGTCTACTGCTCCCCAGATCTACCGTGTCATCAAGACAAGCGTTTTATAATATCAAACTCGATCTTCTACTCCACGAGGAGCAGTCCAGCGGTGTCCCTCCAACTCGGCGATCGGAAAAATCGTACCGACTTATCGGATCCGATCGATTCGAATCGGAGAGACTCGTCGCAGTCCGATGTCGAAGAGGCTGTGTCCTACGATAGCTACAATTTCGATGACTATGAAATAATTCATTCCAATGACGAGAGTTTGAGTGTCAGTGAGTGCTACAGCCGAGTGAAGGTGAGTTGACACACTTAAAACATTTGTCATCATCATCATCATCATAGCCTATCTAAGTCCACTGATGAACATAGGCCTCCTCATTCCTCATAGATTAACGCATAAGGAAGACATTTGTCTGCGTTTCGACTGTTTGAATGTTTAAAACAGTTTGCTCCACAGCCAAATCGTTACATATTAGCAACAAAATTAAGACGGCTAAGAATAAAATTAAAATTACGTGGAGTATAATTAACAGCGAAACCGGTAAAGACAAACCTCGTAACTCAAACTATCAATTAAAAATTAACAATGAATTGACTAAATTAAATCAAGAAGTCGCAGCAGTGTTTGAGAAATATTTTACTGATGTTCCTATCTTGACAACAGAGTCATTGAATACTTCTCCAACTGTCGCCGAGTCATTACTCAAACAGAATGTTAATATCTGTTTAAAAAAATTTAGATTTAAAAAAGTATTACCGCAAGATATTGTAAAATACTTCAAAACCATTGATGTAAAGAAAACCGAAGATTTGTCGGGAATTTCCGTTACAGTTATTGCGTCCATAATAGATTTAATTGCACCTCATCTTGCTATTATTTTTAATACTTGTATCGATTCTGGTGTGTTTCCTGATTTAATGAAGTATAGTAAAGTAATACTTTTATTTAAATCTGGTAGTACAATGGACCCCGTTACTTTTAGACCTATTTCTATACTCCCAACTCTCAGTAAAATTTTTGAATAAATAATTTTGGATCAATTGTTAATTTTTTTTTTAATACAAATAAATTACTTCATAAAATCCAATTTGGTTTTACAAGGGGTCGCTTGGCGTCTAACGCCGGTGTTGAGCTTATGAAACATATTTTTAATGCCTGGGGGAATTCGCAAGATTCCTTAGGTATTTTCTGTGATCTTACCAAGGCTTTCGATTGTGTTCATCATGAGATATTAATCAGGAAACTACAACATTACGGTGTAAAAAATTTGGCGCTTAGACTTATATAATTAATAGAATCTGAAAATGATAATGAAAGTGATATAGACGCTACAGCGGTTAGCCACCGTAGAGTCTATATCACCTGAGGATGCCTCGTGTAGAGGCGAAACACGTGTCGTATTATCGTCAGTGGTGTGTCTTGCCTAGTGTAGTGGTGTTGGGAGTAGCGGTGCTGGGATTAGTGGTGACGGGGATAGTGCACGCAATTGAGGGAGGGCGGGAGGTGCCCTTCATACTAGGTAAAACACATCATTTTATTTTATAACGCGGATATTTGCGAAGTAAATTTTTCTAAAAACTTAGACTTATTACTTCATATTTAAGTAACAAAACTTAAAAAGTCGTGATATGTAAAGGTTCCTCCGAATCGGTAGTATCATTAGGCGTTCCTCAGGGCTCGATTCTTGGCCCATTCCTGTTCTTAATTTATATTAATGACTTACCTTATCTTCTAGGGGACAATCACGATACAGTATTATTTGCTGACGGTACCTATTTAATTTTCAAACTCAAACGGCAGTCAATTAATTATGACGATGTAAATAATGCTCTATCGAAATCGGTACATTGGTTTAACGCCAACGATTTTCTCTTAAACGGCAATAAGACAAAATGTATTAAATTTATAATACCTAATGTAAAATATTCAAAAACCAATGTGCTTTTAAATGGGAAGTTGTTGAGTGTTGTGGATACCACTGTTTTTCTTGGTATTACTATTGACGCGAAACTTCAATGGGGCCCCCATATATCTAAATTGGCAAGCAGACTTAGTTCTGCAGCATATGCTGTAAGAAAGATTAGAAGTCTCACAGATGTTGGGACAGCTAGATTAGTTACTTTCATAGCGTAATGTCTTATGAAATTTTGCTTCTTCTTTAGTATCATTAGGCGTTCCTCAGGGCTCTATTCTTGGCCCATTCCTGTTCTTAATTTATATTAATGACTTACCTTATCTTCTATGGGACAATCACGATATAGTATTATTTGCTGATGGTACCTATTTAATTTTCAAACTCAAACGGCAGTCAATTAATTATGACGATGTAAATAATGCCCTATCGAAATCAGTACATTGGTTTAACGCCAACTATTTTCTCTTAAACGGCAATAAGACAAAATGTATTAAATTTACAATACCTAATGTAAAACATTCAAAAACCAATGTGCTTTTAAATGGGGAGGAGTTGAGTGTTGTAGATACCACTGTTTTTCTTGGTATTACTATTGACGCGAAACTTCAATGGGGCCCCCATATATCTAAATTGGCAAGCAGACTTAGTTCTGCAGCATATGCTGTAAGAAAGATTAGAAGTCTCACAGATGTTGAGACAGCTAGATTAGTGTAACTTAGTTACTTTCATAGCGTAATGTCTTATGGAATTTTGCTATGGGGTAATGAGACTGTTATTGAAGCTATATTTGTTTTGCAAAAGAGAGCCGTACGGGCGATTTAGAACCTAAATTGTAAAGAGTCCGTCAGAGAAAAATTTAAAGAAATAAACATATTAACTTTGGCATCGCAATTTATTTATGAAAATGTAATGTATGCACATAAAAACATAAATAGCTTAGTAAGAATAAGGATGTTCATAGGTTAAACACTAGGAACAAACATAAGCTTGTAATACCAGTTACTAGACTCCACAGTTTTCTTCACAGTTTCCAAAATTCCAGAACATGTTCAAAGTTTGTCAATAAACAAGTTTAAAAGTTTTATTAAAGAAAAACTGTACACAAAGGGTTATTATAATATCAAGGAATACATGAATGAAAATAACCCCTGGGAATAAGGTGATCGCCAGCATGCTGGTTCTATGAAGATTCATTTAAAAATTGTATAAACAAAATTTTTGTTAAGTGAAATATGTTTGAAAAAAAAAAGTCCCGCTAGGTTTCTTGCTGGTTCTTCCCAAGACAAAGGTATTTTCCAAACCAGTGGTAAATAAAATATGACTTTTAATAAGTATTATGTAATAATAAATAAATTAAAAATATATAAATATTATGTAATAACCGACATAGCCCAACGGATTAGTAAGCTGAAGTGGCAGTGGGCCGGTCATTTAGCTCGAAGAACCGACAACCAATGGGGAAGAAAGGTTCTCGAGTGGCAGCCTTGTACCGGTAGGAGAAGTGTAGTGCGACCCCTCACTAGATGGAGTGACGACCTGGTGAGACATGCAGGAAGTCGATGTATGCAGGTGGCTCAGGACCGTGCTTTGTGGCATTCCTTGGGGGAGGCCTATGTTCAGCAGTAGACTTATGAAAGGCTGTAATGATGATGATGAATAATCAATATTGAATAAAAAAATCATTCTATTCTAATCATTACGTCGTAGCACAAAGTAGAGATGTCAGATGATGATGCAAAAATATTTTAAATGCTGCCAATAAATAATTACGGACAGATTGACTGAATGAATTGTTAATTTTGTGTGATTTCAAATATTCCTTTTTTAATAGTCTATGTCAAGGCAAAAAAGTGTTTATTTTATATTTTGTATATTATATATCTGTTACGCAGTTGCAAGTGAACACATTGGGGCAGCGCAGTGGACATTTCCTTGCCCTAATACCCTCTCAGAAATGAGTGGAGGATTGTTTTTTTTTTATAGGATAAGGGTGACAAACGAGCACACAGTCCACCTGATCGTAAGTGGTTGCTGCGGCCCATAGACATCTACATCTATCCTTGTTTGCGAATCAAAATGCAGATGCGTTGTCACCTGTGAGAACTAAGATGGAATGCCTCATTTCCAGTAAAAAGGGCCTCCGGCCACCTGCACTCACCAAGCGAAACGCAGAGGTAAACCTCTACTTCACGCTGGTATTAATTGTGCTCAGCAGTGTTGATACAGCGTATATAGGCTGTTACTTTAACTTTAAGTGAAATATTATAGCCTGCTGAAAATACGAACTTAATTTTAACTTTAAAATTACGATCGAATTTAGACCCCTGGGCGACCACTAGTATGTTATTTTTGCAACAGCTATATTGTGATAGTATGAGCCAGACATCTATTGTTCTTTTCGATAGTATAGTCAATATGTTATGCATGTAAAAGAATATTAGTAGCGCTTAGAAACAATAAAATTTGTTTATATACTGTTTAAATGAATATTTTAAAATAGCACCCAAACAGCCTCTCAGTAGATTTTATATTTTATTTAATAGAATAAGAGTAAAAACGAGCACACAGTCCACCTAATGATAAGTGGACACTATGGCCTGTAGATATCTACATCTATCCTCGACTAAGGACTGCCAATGAGGACTAAGATGAAATTACTTGTTACCAGTAAGAAAGGTCTCCGCTTCTCTTCACTCACCATACGAAATACAGCAGCATTATACTGTTATTTTACGCTGGCATTTTTTGTGCATGGTCCTTTCTGTATATCATTACATAATATCAGCGTAAAACAACAGCGGTTTTGAATTTTAATCCTAAAAAAATATATGTAGGTGAATGGGCCACCTACAACATCCACTTACCATGGTTACATGGAAGGTGGACTGTGTGTTCGTTTCTCATCTTTGAAATAGAAACAGTAAATTTTTTATTCAATATAGATTATTATAAATAATACTTATTGAAAGTCACTCTTTTCTTTAATTTACCGTTGGTTCGGAGAAAAACTTTTATCCTGAGAAGAACCAGCAAGAAACCCAGTGTGTGGTTACACAATTAACAACATCAAACAAATTACAAAATACTTGATTGCGATCACCTCATTCCCAGGGGTTCCTATCATCCATGTATATACAAACTTAGTTTAATACAATTTTTGATTTTGTTGTAAAAGCGTATACATCTCCCCAAGAATGAATTACTGACTCGGTGAAGTCGAGTAACTGGTAGTACTAGCTACTCGACTCTAGTTAGTTATGTGAAATACCCCCGTAACAGTACACTGTCATGTGCGTTTGTTACATATATGATACTGAAGCAATTATATGTGTTACATTTCAGCCTAAATCAGATGACGCGACATCGCTGGTCTCGCAGATCGGCATGATACGAGTGGAGAACGAGTCGGAAGCTTTCTCGCTGTCGGCAAGCGGCCGTGGCTGGGGCGGCGCGCTCGACACCAGCGCCACTAACCTCACCAACGTCACCAACATCACCAACACTACCAACCTCACTAACACTACCAACCTCACCAACACAACTAACCTCACCACCACGACTTGCACCAACAACGCCAACATTTCAATCAAGCAGGCCTCGCTTGATGTACAACAGACTGGTAAGTCACAATGATGATGTACTTGCCGATTTTGATCCTGGCGATTACTATTTATTACTATTAGATTACTATTATAAACTGAATCAGGAGATGGACAGCTACATCTTCCTGATAACAGCTTAGTAAAAAAAACTCCGGTTGCCAAGTTTCAAGGCAGTCATGGCAAATATTCCCTCTAGAAGGCAGAGTGGATGAGGCTTAAATTCAGCAATGGGTTTTTAATATACTGTAGTAGTAATGGATTACTGGAAAATCAGAAGCCACCAACTGCACAGGAATTACCATATATTGTGCTAGCAATTGTTGTTTCTCTATTTTTATAGAATAAGGGTGACAAACGAGCACGCCGTCCACTAGATGATACGCTTTTTTTTAATTGGTGAGGGGGCAAATGAGCATGCGGCTCACCTGATGGTAAGTGACTACCGCCGCCCATGAACAACTGCAACACCAGGGGAACCAGGGGAATTGCAGATGCGTTGCCGGCCTTTTAAAAAGGAGTAGGCTCTTTTCTTGAAGGTCTCTAAGTCGTATCGATCCGGAAAAATCGTTGATGGTAAGCGATTCCACAAGGAAGTTGTGCGAGGAAGAAAACATCTTCTAAATCGCACAGTGGTGTACCGCCAATCATCCAGATGGTGTGGATGTTATCAGGAGTTCAGCCGCGGTGTGCGTTTGTGAAATTTGGCGGCTGGGATTAATCCGAACAAGTCCTCAGAGCACTCTCCGTGGTAAATGCGAAAGAAAATGCAAAGGGATGTAACATCTCTTCGCAGTGCCAATGAATTGAACCGATCGCAAAGGACTCGGTCGCCGACGATTTGAGCCGCTCTCCGCTGGATGCGGTCAAGTGGAAGGAGCTGGCACTGGGGAGCCCCTGCCCAGAGATGGGAACAGTATTCCATGTGAGGTCGAACCTGCGCCTTGTAAAGTTGCAGGCGGTGTGCCGGCATGAAATACTGTCCTGCTCTGCTGAGCACGCCAAGCTTTTTAGAGGCCAATTTGGCCTTCTCTTCCAAGTGACCACGAAACTGCACGTCACTCGATGTGTCGACTCCGAGGATTTCGATACTAGCTGAGGCAAGGAGGGGAGTGCCTTGAAACTGAGGAGATACGACAAAGGGGTTCTTTTTAGCGGTAAACGCGCAAACTTGTGTCTTCTGAGGATTAAACTGGACTAGATTTAGTCGCCCCCAATCTGAGACTTTGTTCAGCAAAGACTCGACTTCAGACACAAGTTTGTTCCGGTACTCGGCGACGTTTTCCCGAGAAATATTGGCACGGACGGTGTATAAAGCATCACCAGTGCTGTCATCCACATACCAATGAATGTTACCAGTTAGCAACATATCATTGATATGCAGAAGAACCAGTGTTGGTGATAGCACACAGCCTTGTGGAACACCAGCGTTAATAGGTTTGTAGTCGGAGCATGCACCGTCTACAACGACCTTGATGCTCCGATCTGCAAGGAAGCTGGTGATCCAATTGCACAATTTCTCGGGAAGCCCATAGGAAGGGAGCTTCGAAAGAAGCGCTTTGTGCCAAACTCGATCGAAGGCCTTCGCAATGTCCAAACTAACAGCCAACGCCTCCCCCTTGGACTCTACTGCCTCCGCCCATCTATGGGTCAGGTAGACCAGAAGATCACCAGCTGATCGACCCCGACGAAAACCGTATTGGCGGTCACTAATCAGCTGGTGATCCTCAAGGTACCGCATTAGCTGGCAGTTAATAATGGATTCCATTATTTTGGAGAACAAGGAAGTGATGGCGATAGGCCTGTAGTTGGACGGGCCTGAGCGGTCGCCTTTTTTAGGGATCGGGTGGACAAAAGCTGTCTTCCATGATTTCGGGACTACGCCTAGGGAGTAGGAGTAACGGAAAAGACGCGTTAGAACCGGTGCCAACTCCGGAGCACATGTCCTCAGCACAATTGGGGGGATTCCGTCAGGCCCACTCGACTTGTGGATGTCCAGGGAGAGGAGTGCTTTGCGAACCGAGCGCTGTGAGAACAGCACATCCGGCATGGAACACTCACACCGCGGGATGGTCGGCGGTGTTTTCCCCCCGTCATTAAGAGTCGAGTTGGACGCAAAAAGGGAGCCTAAAAGGTCGGCTTTCTCTTTTGCGGCGTGGGCCAGTGAGTCGTCCTCCCTGTGCAGAGATGGTAGTGATGGCTTACAGAAATTCCCTTGGACAGCCTTGGCGAGAGACCAGAATACACGGGTTCCCGAAGGAAGGCGAACTAGTTTCTCGCCAAGCCTGCCTATGTGCTGTGACTTTGCCTTGGCAATAACTCTTTTGAAGGACTTCTACTTCTACTTCTTTTTAAGCATGCTGGTGTTTACATCCCGAGTCGCCGAAGCCGCAGCCCAGGTTTGATAACACTCCTGCTTACTGCGTAATGCAGTCTTACAGGAGCGACCAAACCAAGGCTGAGATCTGCCTCCGATGGGTACCACAGATAATGGAATAAATAGTTCCATTCCCTGTAGCACCACATCAGTGACAGAGTAAGCAACAGCACTGGGATCATCCGGCGAGTAGCAAACCCGCCCCCATGGGTAGGATGCAAAGAGAGACCGCATTCCGTCCGAATCCGCCGACCTGTAATGCCAAACACGGCGGCAACCTGCAGAACGCAACCGCGAGGGTAGCGTGAGTGGCACCACACTCCGAATCAGACAATGATCCGAAGAGCCGAGAGGGGCGTCTACGGAAACCTGATATCCGTCCGGATGAGAGGTCAGCAGAAGGTCCAACAGGGAAGGTGCATGATTCTTCACATCTGGAATCCCCGTAGTCGAAGTAACCAGTTGTGTCAGACCATATGCCAAGGCAAAGTCATAAACAGATCTCCCCGCATGATCGGTTAAACGTGAACCGAGCCATTCGGCGTGGTGGGCGTTCAAATCGCCAAGGATCACGATCTCTGCGGATGGGACCTGTTGTAGCAAGGAGTCTGTAGCCATTTGGACGTAGTCGATGAGTCGGTCTGTTTCGGCATTACCGCTATGGGACCTATAGAGGCACCCGTAGACGCGCGGATGGTCGTCGCTGTCTAGAGGTCCGAACCTTCAAGACTGCCGAGGCGTCGAGAACAGATGTCCTCTCTGACATATACGCAAACTCCAGCCCGAGGCACAAAGGAGTGCTCCAATTTGTACCCCGGGTAGGAGAGATACGAAGTATTAGTCGGAGAGGACACCTGCGTCTCGGTCAGAAAGAGCAAGGCCGGCTTCGCCGTCTCGAGATGGTAGTGGACGACGTTTAGGTTAGGTGGACGGCGTTAAGTGGATGCTGTGTTCCATATACAGGGTTATTTTGCAATGTTTGGCCAAATTTGCAGAGGAGGTTTAGAATAGGTAATATAATAATGTCTTCCAGACTGAATTTCGGTCACGGTGGCCAGTCTCAACGGAGACTAGCCATCTGCGCAGGACAGGATTATAGTGCCCAAGTGTATGCGTAAGCACAGGTGCACTCTCTATTCCCTCACTCTCATAGTCCGATGGGACGGTAAACAGACATGACCGGAGAGAGATTAGGAGCACGACCAACGGTTTTAGGTGCTTCCGAGGCGCGGGGGTGAGACACTGCCAACTTCCTGACTCCGGGCAGCTACTGAGAATTTCTTGATGGAAAAACTCAATAACTGATTTTTTTGGCCCCACTCGGGATTCGAACCTGGGACTTCACGATCAGAAGTCGCACTACTGCAACCACTAGAGCAACGGGGCAGTCAAGGTAATATAAGCGAATGGTGAAAAAACTCAAAGATTTTGTCCTTTTTATCTTTTATATTCAAAATGTGTGGAAATGTATTATTTTAACTGATTGTCATTCATAAATATGTAGCGCCTACTATTTTACTACGCACGCACACATTCGTAAGGGAGTGTTGAATTCGGAAGCAGTCTGTAGCGTTTGTCGCTCGCACTCGGTTACAGATTTAGGTATCTAATAGTTGTTTTGACTCGGTAAAGACAAGCGCGTCACTTCGCCCTTTCCCTTCCGTAAGCCGGTTACACCGCTAGGTACGTTCGTCCGGCCGGTCTTTAAATTTTCGGTTTTTAAATTTTCGTAGGTAGTAAGTAATACTTGTCACTTCTTTAGCAATGTTCCGGTGTTACATTTTAAGCAATGAAAGTTTACGTGGTGCGCAAAGATTATACGAAAGTGGTGTTGTTCAAGATTTCCTGGACGATATATCCCTAGTGTTACTGAATATTTTTTTATTTCGTGTTATTACTCTATGTAAATTAATCTAGAAACAATTTAAGTAAATATGCTCAACTATGCTTTAAGAGAAACGGACTCCATTTTGAAGACCTATTAAAATACTAATAAGTTTGTGCTATTTTAAGTGATTGCATATTTAAGTTGTAAATAATTCGTGGTTGTAAATAGTTAATCGTTTTAATTTGTTAATAGTTGTAAATACGTGATTCCAATTTTTTTAATATGCCTTAATAAAGAAGTCGTCGGGTTCGTCGTTGAAATGTATTCTTTTTAATTTTATATATTATGACGGTTGTAACTCATGAATATGATTATAATAATCATTTACGAAAGGAAAATTGGAATCATAATTCGCGTCGCGTAGTTATCAACTTACTAGCAAGCGTGTGGTTAAGGAAGTAAAATAGTAGATAAAAGCTCCGTACATTGACTCGTAGGTACACACACAAGCGCAAGTACGCTGTAGTTGTTGCCCTTAAATAACATTCAATTTCGGATATTTTCAAATAAATGTAGAAAGTTATTTAAGCGTATTTTAAAAAAATGCAATAAGTGTATATCAGTATTTACATATATTTTAAAATTAATTATTAAATGAAGCTAGTCTTTGTAAAATAACCCTTTATAATAGGAAAAAATGTTAACAGCACTAAATTTATATTGATTTTTTACTTGTAGCGTAAATATCTTAATTTAAGCTGTTTGATTTCCGTATGAAATGAAATAAAAATACAACAAAATTGCTCTATTTCTGAAAAGTACAAGTAAATATTTAATTTGTTCGCAGTTCTCTCGAAATTAAGCCGAAAAATCAGTTTAAAGCTAGTCAATTTCGTCGATTGCTTGAAGGATACTTACTTTGGAACATTGCAGAGGTAAGTTTTTTTTTACCAAATTAAATTTGTTTAGCTTGGAAAAAAATGTGTCGAAGACACGGCTGTTTTTTTATGTGCATACGACCTCAAAATGGCGGCACTCCTTCCACCGCACGTTATAGGCCTCACTCAACGAATAACGAATTGTTTGATAATTAAGTCGGTGAGTGATGTAATTAAATTTTGGATCTAGATGATAGATGTGTAGCTCCAAAACCAAACTGTATCCCCCGATTTTGTTATAATATTTTTTTCTGTATTGCCTTCTATGCACGCAAATTTAAAGACGTATTCACGTGAAAAATTTATACGCTGGTTATGTAGACCATGTAGTGGCGGTGTAAGAATAACCACTACCCTATATCTTCCCGTAGGTGTCGTAAGAGGCGACAGAGGCAAAAAAGTCAAGTGATGGGCAGCAGCGTCTTCCTAATAATTACTGAAATATAAAACTCCGGTTGCTAACCCGCTTGCCAAGTTCCCAACATTCATAATAAACGATTGACAGAAATATATTCTTTTATAACCTCAAAACGGTAAGCCCTATATTGATAACGTTTTAATACTTAAATATTACTATTATACTACTGCCACTACTTAATTATTAAAACTACGTGACTTTCAAGTAACATACAAATTCCTTCTTTATCATGGGGAGATCCTCATGGAGACCATCTACGACGGCGGCATTGGAAAGGTTATGTGGGACTCCTACCAGCCGAAGCCCCATGATGGTCTCTGTCAGTGTATACGTTGGGTCCCAGATTCTCCGTTCGATATATAAACACAACAATCAGTGTGTCTCCATTACCTTGCTCGATTATAAGCACGTCCCGGGTAGCACTTACTGCCCCTAGCATCCTTGCTGCTCAACCAGCAAAGTCAGTCATTAAGGAATCTATCACTAAATAATTATAATAATGCGTTATTCAAATATCCGTTGTACTTTGTAATATGTATACATATATATATATATGGGTTTATACAACTTGTTACAAAAACCCTATAGTTCCATTTAAGTGCGTTATCAGAGTCGGTATTCAAACGTAATGAAAAAGTTTTTTCAAAAAACTTGAATACAAAAAAATAATTTTAAATAAAAAAAATAATTTGCAAATCGTATGTGGTTTTATATTTAACTAATGAAAAATAGCCGTGTAGTGGCGGTTAAGAATATCCACTACCCCATATCTTCCCGTGGGTGTCGTAAAGGGCGACAAAGGGATACAGGCAGGAGATGGGCAGCAGCATCTTCCTGGTAACGGCAAAAATAAAATAAAAAAACTGCGGTTGCCAACCCGCTCGCCAAGCGTGGCAACTATGGCAATATACCCCCCATGATGAAAGTTACGAAGAGACGGCCCCCAGTCCCCGGCGGCCCCGCTATTCCTGGCTATGGTGGCGACCATGTTAACGACGGGGCAGGGGGTGCTAAGAATCTCCGGTGGAGGTTCGGTTGCCACCTACTACGACTCGACCTGGCAACATACAACGCACGCACCCTGAGGACTGACGAGAAGATTGTGGAGCTGGAAGAAGAGATAGACAAGTTACGCTGGCATATTATAGGATTATCCGAAGTCCGAAGAGAGGGGGAGGACACGGTAATCCTCGAATCCGGCAACTTGGTCTATTACCGGGAGGGCGACCATCTGTCCCAAGGAGGTGTCGGATTTATCGTCCACAAGTCTCTCGTTAACAACGTTGTAAAGATTGAGTGTGTCGACGAGGGTTGCGTACCTTATACTTAGAATCACCAAACGGTATTCGCTGAAGGTCATACAGGTTTACGCACCAACCTCGGCACACCCCGATCAGGATGTGGAGGAAATGTATGAGGATATCTCTAGAGCCATGCATTCCTCCAAAACCCAATATACGGTGTTAATGGGAGACTTCAATGCAAAACTAGGCACAAGAGAGAACGGTGAGCTGAAAGTGGGAAAATTTGGAATAGGGCAACGGAACCCAAGTGGCCAGCAGCTGGCCGACTTCATGGAGAAAGAGGGACTCTTTATGATGAACTCTTTCTTCCAGAAGCGGCCCCACAGGAAGTGGACCTGCTCGAGCCCCGACGGTTCGACAAAAAATGAGATTGACTTCATTATGACGAACAGACGACAACTGTTCAGTGATGTCTCAGTGATCGCGAGGGTGAAAACCGGCAGCGATCACCGAATGGTTAGAGGCACACTGAACCTAAACGTTAAGTTGGAGAGGTCTCGTCTAATGAAGTCAACGCTCCGTCCCGCTCGTGCTCTAATCCAAAGTCCCGAAACCTTTCAGCTCGAGTTACAAAACCGTTTTCAGTGCCTAGAAGACTGCAATGAAGTGGACGATATGAATGACAAGCTCGTGGAAACTGTCCATGCGGTCGGAGCTAAGTTCTGCAAGACCCGCCGCAGAAGAACACAAAAACTCCCCGATCACACTCTTAATCTCATGGCTGTTAGATGGGAGATGAAGCTACATTCTTCAACAGATTTGACAGCATACAGGCAACTGAACAGACAGATCTCCAAGTGCATGCGGCGGAACTTACGCAACTTCAATACAGCTCGTATTGAAGAAGCGATCGAGCGGAACCAAGACTCCAAAGTCTTTGCCAGAGATCTGTCTGCCAGAAAGAACCAACTGTCAAAGCTGAAGACCGAATGTGGCAGCATCGTTTCCGGGGCACCTGAGATTTTGAGTGAGATTGAGAGGTTCTATGGGCAGCTGTACACGTCATCGTTGGAGCCGCTCGCAAGTGTGAGTAACGATCCAAGAGCGAGTCTTATCCGACATTATTCCGATGATATCCCGGACGTCAGTCTGAGCGAGGTTAGAATGGCTCTCCAGCACCTTAAAAACGGCAAGGCCCCAGGCGAGGATGGAATTACAGCGGAGCTTCTTAAAGCGGGTGGAAAACCGGTACTTGAAGTCCTTCAGGAGCTCTTTAATTCCGTCCTCCATGGTGGCATTACACCGGAGGCGTGGAGCAGAAGTGCGGTGGTCTTGTTCTTCAAGAGAGGCGACAACGCTCTCTTGAAGAACTACAGACCGATTTCCCTTCTGAGCCGCGTCTACGTGCTGTTTTCGAGAGTCATTACGAATCGTCTTGCGCGCAGACTTGACGACTTCCAGCCTCCCGAACAAGCCGGTTTCCGAAAAGGCTTTAGCACCATAGACCACATACATACCCTTCGGCAAATTGTACAGAAGTCCGAGGAGTACAATTTGCCACTATGTCTGGCGTATGGGGACTATGAGAAAGCCTTTGATTCCGTCGAAATTTGGGCGGTGCTGCAGTCCCTTCAGCGATGCCAAGTTGACTGTCGGTATATCGAAGTGTTGAAGTGCTTGTACAGTAGGGCTACGATGGCTATCCGAGTACAGAACCCGAGTACGAAACCTATCCAATTGCAGAGAGGTGTAAGACGGGGTGACGTCATATCCCCGAAACTCTTTACCGCTGTATTGGAAGATTTTTTCAAGCTTCTGAACTGGAAAGGATACGGTATCAACATCAATGGCGAGTACATCACTCACCTTCGATTTGCCAACGACATTCTCCTTATGGCAGAATCGCTGGAGGACCTAGGCACTATGCTCAATGACCTGAATAGTTTTTCCCAACGGATAGGTCTTGTTACGGATCGCCGTAACGCCGTTCGAAAAATGAATAAAAACGCGCTGGTCTTGCTTAAACTGGAGGCAAGCGGCGGTGAGGAGGAACGTTTACTTTTTCTTTTCTTGCTGTCTTTTTTTCGGTGGCCTGAGAGCGACTGCCAACCGTTCCGGCCGGCCCGTCTTATATATGATTTGGCCGTTGCTGGCCAGCGGACCCTTGCCTCACCCCCGCGCCTTTCTTTGTTGGTTAGATTTCTTACAAACTAATGAACAGACTTAAATATATAACATTCTTACAACTAATACGTACATAACAGTTTTTCTATATACTAAAAGTTTAAACGTTGTTTTTCAGCAAATTTGAGCTGAGGACCCTGCCCCCCGCCTCAGTACTATAAATATAAAACGTCGTGGCGCGGCGCGCGTAGCCTCATTCGCTCCGCGGCCGCGTCACGGTAACATGCACTGTTTATTGTTTTTCGTGCCTAAGGGCTTAATATATAAGGAATTAAATTGTAATATATAAAGGAATACAATTTACATACAATAATTACTTTACAATTTTACATTAATTAATTTCTACATTCAAATCTATGTTAACTCTCGCTATTCGTTCGTTGCCTTTATTGGGAGAGTTTATTACATAGTTACAATACTATTTATTAAAATATAAAGCTATATTTTTCAATATTCTTGTTACGGCTTTTCCCGCGTTGCTGTGTGCAACCACCACTAGTTGTTGAACCGTGAGCGCGGCCCGACGATCGTAACCCCTCATGGCTCCGCCCACCGCCCCTAGGTTGTTCAACTAGCGTTGGTTACGACAAGCATTTAGTAAGTTCAACGTATCACTTTGTTTGCGTCGTGCACAGGTCTTAAGATGAACATGGACAAAACAAAGATCATGTTTAATGGCCATGTCACACCTATGCCGGTAGTTGTTGGGAACACTAACCTCGAAGTTGTTGACGAGTATGTTTACCTGGGACAAATAGTCCGACTAGGTAAGTCCTACTTCGACCGAGAGGTCAATCGACGGATTCAACTCGGTTGGGCAGCGTTCGGGAAATTACGACACATCTTCTCGTCAGGTATACCTCAAAACTTGAAAACGAGACTGTACACCCAGTGCGTGTTGCCAGTGATTACATACGGAACTGAGACGTGGTCCTTTACTGCTGACCGGATGAGGAAGCTCAAGGTCGCTCAGCGAGCTATGGAGAGGGCTATGCTCGGAGTTTCTCTGCGTGATAAACTTAGAAATGAGGATATCCGCAGTAGAACCAGAGTGACCGACATAGCCCAACGGATAAGTAAGCTGAAGTGGCAATGGGCCGGCCATATAGCTCGAAGAACCGACAACCGATGGGGAAGAAAGGTTCTCGAGT